GCTGGGTGTGGCCTGGCTGGAAGCTTCCAGTAGCTTCCAGTTGGGTCCCAGACCCTGCGCCCAAAACTACAGTTGAGGGGCTGCGCCCCTTTGCAGTTAGGCATGGCCTGAGTCTCTGGACTTGGGCAGTTTGCTGCATCTGTGCAGGACTCCCAGGCAGGTGCGTTGGCACTACTGCTTTTGCCAAGCCCGAAGGCCTGCTTCCCCATGTATCGGCCCTGCTTTGTGTATGTGTGCCCAGGCGCAACTGTCAAGGCCTGGGCCAACTTTATGACGCAGCAATGTGAGGCTCACTCGTCTGCTCAACCAACTGGCGTGCTGCGAGAGCCTGAATACCCACATATSGAAATGTGAAATTTCGCCTTTGACGAATATTCAGGCCCGCCTTCACTTAGGGCGGGCACTTGAATTGCTGGGGGCCTTAGCCCAGAACAATGTGATGTSTGATAGGGCCCCTAGAGGGCTTGTTCCTCACATTCCATCCGCTGAGATGCTTCATGATGGTGCCTTCCCATTCAGTTTCTTCCAATAATCTCTACGATCTGAGGAGCTGTCTTGACAAGTTCCTCCCTCGAAATCCATCGATCTTCCTTCGGATCAGTATGATGCCTGAAATGTACTATGTACTCCCTCGCAGGTTTGAGAGGTCTTCCCCTGCCAGGTGGCTTGGGAACAGGCGTGTCTCTGTGATCCGGGATGTCGTCGACGTCGACGCGGCCATCCATGGTTGGGGGCAGCATAGATCTCTGTGATGGGAACTGTGCTGTCTCAGCGAAAGGTGCAAGCTTGGAGGCGTGAAAAACAGGGTAAGTGCGTAAGTGACCAGGTATACGAATGACGTACGAGGCACCATCCAAATCATTCCCCACAATTYGACAGTCTGCTGCAACACTTTCTCATATTGGACACCAAATTCAATGGTTCCAGGAGTTGCAGCAGTTCGGTTTTGTGACGAACCACTTCCCAAACCCATGCTATCTTTCGTACCCCTTTTTGCTTGTATCATACCAACCCCATAAAAAACCCGTTTYGTTTTTCTGATTTTGGGTGCCGCATCCGTGGCAGGCCAATCCGAGTCTAACCCTCTGAACGGCCGGAAATGACGGTCCGTTGATGTGCCGAGTGCGACCACCCATCTTGCCATCTTTGAGGGTTACCCGTAAGGTTCAGCGCGCCCAAAATCAAGGGCGCCCTGAGCCCCCCTAATCTCCGCTGCCTGGTCTAACCAGAGTACCGTCAAAACTCATACTCGTCTTCGCGCCTAAGTCCCAAAACTGTAGTTTTCAGGCGGCGCACTGTTTGTGGCCGCCTGACACCGCTGCAAAGCCCGTAATGCGGGTAGAAGGTGGTGCGTGGTGCGGGTCCTCGAGCGGATCTTGGTGATAGTAGCAAATATTCAAATGAGAACCTCGAAGGCCGTAGCGGAGAAGGGTCCCATGGGAACAGCCGCGGGACAGCGCCGCCCAGCCAGCGCTGTAGCGGCCTCCCACTAGCTTCCCCTGGCCATTGTCTCAAGGCACAGTTCACCATCCTCCGGGTCCCAACGAGCGTGCTCACACTCAAACCTCTTCTCAGCGGGCGGCGGGTGGGCAGACGGTGCACGTGCAGCAGGTTCCCGTCATCTGGGTTCGAACACGGCCCTGTATCTCAACAGTTCATGGGCGTACCCACTGAGCTTGGCCCTTAGGCCCCGGGTGTAACCACGGCCCCGCGTCCCAAGGCAAAATGGGGCGCGGCCCCGGCACAGCCACAAAAACAGTTTGTAATTGCACTTCGGGCACCCCTGCGGATACAACACATCCCCACGCGCTGCTACCGTTGTCTCACGTCCTCGGGATACGACAAACAAAACAGATAAGGGAAATAGGATAAAATAGCAGCAGGGTCGGGGAACAGCGGGGCTGCTAGCGCCTCGCCAGCCCCCACGGACCGGGCCCGCCACCGCGCCCGCAAACAAAATCAAGGGGGATAGCCCTGGCGGCCCTCGACCCCATCGGTTCCTTCCACGACGCTCCGCTGGCCTCGATCCCCGAACCCCTGTGTCGCCAACCCAATGTCGTAACCTATAGGGCTAAGCCCAAGCCTGAGACCAATGTCCGCGGAGTGCCATAAAAGACGGCGCGGCACTGCGCTCAGGGCAGGGAGATTGGCCTGAGCCTCATCTCTGCCTACAACCGTGCGCGCGGCCGCCCAGCGTCTGCGCCGACATACCCAGCTGTACCACGGCCGCCAGTCGCCCCACTCCGCGTGCTAAGACCTACCGCAATCACACTGTCGCCTTCGCCGCCATCGCCCGTGCACACGCGCTCGCCTCGGTCAAAGTACCAATCGGAAGATGATATCCCTAGTTCCTACTTAATCAAAAATAAATAAATATTAATAATATCATTTACCAAACGACCAATGTCCGCGCCGACTTTATGATAAAAAACAAAACAGAATCACGCGCGCCTTAAACCTGCGCGCCCATGCACTCTTTACTCTAGTCAACCAACCAGTCAACGTTAAAATTATAGACGCGACCGCGCCTAGCGCGGTATACTTAAACTTTAAACCAAAACTATTTTCTGTCGTTTGCAAAAAACAGGGCGGATACCCTTGTAAGGGTATTCGCACCGACAGCTTACCGGGCCAGATTAAGCGACGTCCCCGTCGCTTCGCCAAATCAGAAAGCTATAAATCCTATCTACACTCCAAATGCTGACGAAACAGGAGCCAATCCGATTAGCCGACAAACACAAGGTAGAGTCCTCCATCAAACCATGCCTCCACAACTATATGCTGCCAGGTTTCTAACCCGGGCCTCTTACTGCCCAGAAATTAGGACGCTGACAGCATAAGTTTCAAAGACCTTCCCAATCGTCCTCTCCCCGGTCCTAGACAACCTTCGGCTTCTCGTTGGGTGTCCCTAGTCCTGGCAAAAACTAGGGACGCGGACCTTAATCGAGACCTTTGAAGACACTTTCGCCTCCCTTCAAAAAAATCTCTCGCAATCAAGTACACATAAGTATATATGTATACTTAATATCCGCTCAGCTCTTTTCTGCAGTCTAGTACAGAAAGGCTAGGTCTCCACGTTGGCCCACCATGGCCTGGCTGATCGGACCAGGACCACGGCCCACCGCATTGTTATTTAACGACAGTACCCTCGTTGGTTACGCAACGATAGATTTTCTCCTGATAAGCATCCAATCAGGATTTCCCCCAAAAATTATCAACCATCACTATTCCGCGGAGTAATCTCACAGGGGCGGACACCCCCCCTTAAACTCTTACCCACGTGGTCCCGCAGCCAGGTTGCGCCGGCTAGCAGCCATCCAATGGGGTTATGCCCTAGAGGTACTAACTTATTTTCCGTTAGCTTGGTCTTTCTTCAATATGTCTCAGAATTAGCACCAGTGGTTAGACGGGGGCGTCGCAAAACAATCAGTGGCCCACTGCGTGATACGCAGGGGTCCGAAGGCATTTACCAGCCCTCCCTCAATAGGCATGGCATCCTTCGCACGCTTACAAACAAAAATCACCGCTGAACCCACCAGGCCGTGACCCCTGACTTGATCAGAGCCAGCAGCCACCCATCCTGAGACATCTCTTTCCCTACACTCATTGCGACTTTCTCAAAAATTTCAAACAAAAGTGGCCCTTTTCGTCAGACTTTATCACTCACCAGACAACTTACCATGCCATAAATCAGTTTACTCACCTTTGAAGGTGAGTCTTTCAACAACAAAAACATCCCCTCTCCAAAAATCCAAGGGGCTCTCATCATAAAACAAAACACCCCCTCTTCCAAAAATCACGAGGGGTCTCGTCACAGAACAAAACATCCCCTCTTCCAAAAATCACGAGGGGTCTCACCACAAAACAATACACTCCCTCTTCCAGAAATCACGAGGGGTCTCGCCATAAAACCAAACTTCCCCTCCTCAAAAAAAACTCAAGGGGGTCTCATCATAACACACAACATCACAAAACCTCCCCTTTTCCAAAATCCAAGGGGCTTATTATAAAACAAAACATCACTGAGAGACCATCTTATGGGTCCTCATCACGACTTAAGCAATCAATAATCAACATGGTAAGCATTTTGAGCCTCAAGGGCTCAGAAATCTTCAAAATTCTCACAACCTTTCACAGATGGATTGCACTTTCTCCCCTTATACTCTGCCTCATCAGCTGCCCGTGGGCAGGTCGCACAAGTATACCGAGGAGTAGACAGTTTTGCTTACAATGATATTTACAGTACTCATGACACATAAGATGTTTTTCACACATTATCCACACAAACTCATAATTCATCAGAGTACAACCACACATGTGAGAGAGACAAGTGATCGTCACATATAAGAATGGTCTCTGAAATAAAACCTCATCATAATATACACTCAGAGAAAAAAAATGTCTCACACAGAAAATGTCTCCAAATCATAGCTCATTCAACTCAAGCCACACCAAACTCACCTTAACAATTATCCCTAAAATACATGTCAGATCTGTCTCTCAAAGCTAGTGCGTAGGCCACCTAAATATGTACATGCCTCATCTAAATCACCCTGACCCTCAAGACCCCATCTCAGTAGGAACACTAGAGTTCAGATCTAGGTCTAAGAGGGTATCACACAGAACCTAAGCTGATGCCTCACAAGATACTCGCCCACTTACATAGACAAACCGGCCCTACCTCCTCAACCCCTCCTGGTTTTGCCTATATAACTGAGCCCTAAGTCCATCTGCGGACTTCTCTACTATCCTACCCTGTCTATCATACATCTTACCCCCTGCCTCTGAGACCTTCCCTTCTGCCTTATCCTCAAGGAACTCGAGACAGTCCAGAGTATGATGCACGTCCCTCTTGCAGTAGAAACATAGCTGATCCACCTTCCTCTTGAACTTCTTCTTCCTGGGCTGAGGAGGTGGCGATGAAGGAGATTCCACTAAGGTATTGACAACCCCCTGCTGCTCTGATCGAGGAGTTGCGGTACTAACGACCTCCTACTGCTCTATACCAGGAACCGGTTCCCCAGACCCAAATCCAGTAACCCAAGATCCCAGTCTATTCCTCAAATCCTATGTCGATGGGACGTACTCAGGCGTGTCCAACCTTTGAGGTCTCCTCTCGAGTGTCTCTCCTGGCAGTGCCATGGGCTGCTTCTCAATCTCCTCTGGTCCATACTCAGGTGTGCCCAACCTCTGGAGCCCGCCCTCAATGGCACCCTCCGCCTCAATCCCCATCTCTCTCTCAAGAGGCTCCTCTATCCTCTGCTCGGGTGAAAACAAACTCACCTCCTCCTGCATAGTATGTACCGCCTCAAGGAGCACACCCATGGATCCCTTTCCTGAGCCTTGAGCCGGCTCACTGCTAGATGGTGGCCGCCCCTCCTCTACTGCCAAAGGTACGACCGGGTCTGCCGCCACCACTGGCAGCGTCGCGAGCTCGGTAGGGGCTCTGAACTCGAACGCCTCTCTCTCCGCCTGCCTCTGGGCTCTCGCCTCCTCTGGCTCCAGGATCACTCTCCCCATAGGTGGCTCATGGCGAGGCTCTGCTGCAGATGGCTGTCCTGGTAATCCATGTCCTGGCTGCCTCTGCTCTCCCTTCCTGCTGCTCTCTGGCTTGTCCACCTTTCCCAGGGCTTGCTGCCTCAGGCTCTGAATGATAGTTGTCTGGCTGACCACCAATGCCCTGAGTTCCTGGATTTCCATCTCCATAGCCTCCAGGCGTACTCCATGGCTTGTTTCCTTTATCTTATTCCCTGCCAGATCATCCTCCAATAACAAGTGTCGGTCAAAACTTGTCTTGGCCAGGAACTTGATTTTTCGATCCAATCTTTCTTCCGCCTTTCTTGCTACCCCAAACCCGGCTCTGACTGACGAAGGAAGCTCCTCTCCTCTCTACTCCCAGAAGTCCCTCCACATCTCAGGGATCTCCGAGGCCCTAGCTAGTGCATTGGGTGTCTGACCTGGGAGCGTCCCTGCTGCCTCCGATCTCTGCCTCTCCTGCTGCTGCTCTGGAAGCTCCCCCGCTGCCTCTAACCTCTGCCTCTCTTGCCATATCTCGTTTATCCTCCTGGTTCTTCTCGCCCTCTTTTCCTCTGCTGTCTCTCCAACTGACGCTCTTTCCCTCGTGCGGAGGTCGACCCTCTCCGGGATCTCTGCCTCCATCTCCTTCTCGGGCTGGCACGGCTCCTGGCGCGGCTCTGCAGGTGCTGGCTCTTCCAGGTCTGGGTGCTCCAGGGCATAAGCTGCTAGGTGTCTGTCAATCAGGGTCAAGGCTTCTCTCCTTAAAGTTGCCCTCTCTCTCCTCCTTTCTGCTCTCCCTTCTGGCGAAGGGGCCTTTTCTGATGAAGCCAATAGGGTCTCCTCTCTCTGCGACCTCTCCCCTGCCTAGTGAGTGCTCCCTGGTGCATCCCCAAGTCTCAAACCCACCGCTGGCGTCTGTGGGGGCGTGTCCTCTCCAACCTCTATCACTTCCTTCCCTGCACGTCTCCCCTCATCGACCAGCCCTCTCTCTTGCTGAGTATCCCGGACCTCCTCCCGTGGCACCTCCTCTCGTGGCTCCTCCTCTCGTGGGACCTCCTCTCATGGCACCTCCTCTCGCGGTACCTCCTCTCGTCGCACCTCCTCTCGTGGTACCTCCTCCGCCTGCTCTCCATGCTCCTCACCCCGAGGCGACGCCCTCCACCGAGAGATATCCAAATGTGTCTCCAACTCCCTCAAGAGCCCCTTAGATGCTGGCGGCTCCTCTTGTGTGCGTGCTGGCGACCTCCTCAATCCACCCTTGGTAAACCGATGGAACTTCACCGGTCCCAACCCACACTCAGGGTATGCCCCTCGCTCCTCAGCCTCTGGCTCCGGCTCTGGTTCCTCTTCTCTCCTGGCTAGGGCCTTCCGTCCTCCTCGAGACGGTCTCGCCTCCGTGGGCTTAGGGTCCCTCTGCCTCTGACTCCTCTGACGCCTCTCGACTCTGGGCTGAGGGGGCTCTGGTCGTCGAAAGGGCTCTCTCAGATGTGCCCTGCAACTCTCCCAGTCCCGGGCCATGTCTCTGACCTGCTTAGCCAGTGCCCTCTCCGCCTTTCTGGTCTAGAGGGGTAACGTCCTCGCCCACTCATCTCTCGGTATACCCTGCCCCTGCATGAACCACTCGAAGGCAGGGATAAAGTCTGCCACATTTTCGATTTCTAGATGGATCGGCCTGCCATCTGGTCCCACAGGCGAGGGTCGCAACTCCTCCATCCTCGTCTCCACCTCCTGCCCCGTCGTCGCCTTCCTACGAATCCTGGCAATGGGCTCCTCGAACCTGCCTTCTCCCCTCAGTCTCTCGATTGCCTGGGCCACGGTCCAGCCCATACGCCTCGCATGCTCCCAGAAACTATCCAGGAATAGCTCGATGTCCCCATCATCGTAGACCAGAGTACTCTCTCGATGGCGAGGCCCATGCCGCTCATATCCTCCTGATGCCCCCAACGGCCTCCGAGGCAGCCGTGTCCCCTTCCCTCCTCTCGACATGGTTGTCTTCGTAAAGTCAGACCTGCACAACAGGCGAAAGAGACAACAGGCACACATTGGGGTAAGCAAACAGGTGATAATCAAAGCAAGCCCAGACCAGACCACACTCATACAGCATGCATCCTACCTAACCTACACACCCTATTACTTCTATTCTAAAGGCAATCAGGTCATCTCTCTTACCTCTTCTTTCGCCACAAATTTCTTCAGTCGCGTTCCAGATACCCAATCCTTCCACTCAATCCCATTACGCTCTTCAATCTGGTATGCTCCGAAGTCTCCAACCCGTACGATCCGGTAGGGACCTAACCACCTCTTATCGAGTTTCTTGGACCACTGCTTCTCCAGCGATGAATCGTAGAGAAGCACGACATCCCCAACTGCCAAGGGTACTTTCCTCACCCGCGCAGACTGATCCCATCGAGCCTTATCATCCATACGGCTTCTTGCCACCTGATCAGACGCCTCCTGGATCCTTTCTTCTATCGCCCCTATTTGTCGTGCCCGAATATCGAGCAGTTCTTCGAATGACAGGCTAACTTCTAGATCCTGGCGCCTCCATGTCTCAAGAAAACTCTCGATGGGGAAGGTGGCGTGCCTTCTATACCACATCATCGCCTCGTGGATCTTTTTACTGTAATGTTCTCGACAAAGAACGTCGCCCTTAGGTATCCTGGCCATTGATTAGGCCTAGCTTCGGTCCACTTAGCCAGGAGACTCGTAATGGTCCTATGTCCTCTCTCTACAGGAGCATTTGCCCGAGGGTGAGAGACCGTGGTGTAGTTCGCTGCTACACCATACCTTGGTAACAACTCTTGCACCTCCTGACAGGTAAACTCCGATCCTCTGTCCATTACAAATTCCCTGACGAAAGGATAGCGCAGGTAATACTCCTCGATGCAGCTCACCAAGACTGACCCCGTGTCGAGCGCATCGGTCCGGCACCGGACATGGCAGCGCGGGACCCTCTCAGCCACAGTCAAACCCTCACAATTTAGAGCAATCACACCGTCCAATCTTATGGAACTGGTCTGACTCTCCATGCAAACTCAAAAATAAACATAGCGGTTAGGTCGTCCAATATTATGGAACTGGTCTGACCCCATAGGACCCATCCAGGCTCAAGTAAAACCAGCTTTCACCCACCCTTCCCCAAGATGCAACCCCTTATGTTCACAATCTGCCTTTAGGCAATCAACAAAAACTGAAACTGAGACTGCGCACACATTCCTTTATTTAATCTAAGTCGTGTCCTGTCAGTCAAACTAAACTCAAAGCAGGGGTGCATGCAGTACACTCGGTCAAACATAGCAAGACATACAAGTAGGGGTTATATCAGGGTGTATAGAGAGGAAACTATGGTTACCTTTCAATTCCCTGCCTCCAGGACTCCTCCTGAGTCTCGGCAGAGCTCCCGCAATCGGTGGGGCAAACCTTCCACAAGGCCTTGGCGCGGGTTATGGCTTGCAATCCCGCCTGCCGCCTTCCTTTCAGAACCAGCGGACTAGACTTAGAGTAAGAAGGGTAGGAAGAGATGATTTTGAGACTCTCAGATACAAGAAGGGTGCTCTCAGACTCGCAAGAGAGGGCCTTGAAATCTTGATACGCCTGAGGGCCCCGCAATGGCGGCCGGTAAACGCAGCTACGGCTTGGCCAAAATGACGTCAATCACCAGTTGTAGACTCCCTAGCGACTCTTCAAATTGCAACAGCAGCAACCGAACCACAGTTCAATTACAACAGTGGTAACTTGGTAACGGCACGACAGTACGTGCAACGCTAATTTACACAGTGCCCTCAACAGCCACGCACTGGCCCACGGCCCCGCGGCCATGTTCATTGGTGTAATGCAGTACTCCAACAGCCATGCTCAACCTTTCACAATGCACTGCCCTCATTCTCTCAATCATCTGCCAAGGCCCTTATCCCTCAACCCCCTCCAATCGCAAGCTCACCACACCATTAGCACAATCCCTTGACCGTAATAGTCTGCAGCAGGAGGGGTATCATCCCCAACAGTGATAACCCCCTCAGTCTGCGGCTCCTCGGGTTCGCGAGACCCCGCCTCAGGCCCCGACTCAGGTGGCTCCTCCTCTGCCTCATCCTCTACTGGCTCATACCGTGCCGGTCCGCTCTGGTCCGCTCCCAGTTGTGACGCCCCCCACTGGGACGCATCAAGACTAGCCTCCAATCTGTCGAGCGGCGTCCTCAACGGCACCGCGTCTCCACCCTCTGGCAACGTCGGCGACGGGCCCCGTAGATCACTGCCCGTGATTTGGCAAAACTCCTCCTACTCGAGTCCATAGGTAAGGGGTAGCTCCGCCACCTGAGCTGGCCCCGCGGCCTGAACTGGCTCCACCGCCTGGGCGGCCTCCGCTGGCCCCTCTCGCTGTGCCAAGGCCTTTCGACCCCCTCTGGTCATATTGGTCCCTCTCACCTCTGGGCCCCGCGGCCTCTTACTCCTTTGTCGTCTCTCCACCCTGGGCTCCGGCCTCTCGGACTCCAGTCGTCGAAATGCCTGTCTCAACATGGCCTGGCAGTCCTCCCAGTCGTGTGCCCTGTCCCGGATCTGCCTCGCCAACGACCTCTCCGCCCTCCGTGTCCAGAGGGGCAGCATCTGCATCCAATCCTCCTGCCCAGTCCCCTGGTCGCGCATATACTGCTCATAGGTCAGAATGAACTCCTCCGCATTGCCTTCCTCCAATCGAATAGGCAATCCATTCAGTCCCATCGACGAAGCCCTCAGCATCTGCATCCTCGCCTCCACATCCTGCCATGTCAACGCCTCCTCTCGAATGTGCGCAATAGGCTCCTCGAAGCGCCCAACTCCCCTGAGGTGCCGTATCCTATCCAAAGTAGACCACCCCTCCTATGTCGTATGTGCCTGGTAGGAGTCCAGAAAAAGCTCTATGTTACCGTCGTCGAAGATAGGCGTAAACTCCCTCCCAACCGGTCTGCGCGAGTCATCCCCCCCTGATGCTCCCTGAGGCCTCTGTCATGGCCGCGCACCCCTCCCGCCCCTCTGCATGGCTGTCTTCGGAAAGTTAGACCTGCACAACAAGCGAGAGAAAGCAAGCAAGTACACAACAAGGTTAGCCCTCGGTTCATCAAGTTTTTATGACAATACACATGCCTCTTCCTACTCCCTCACCTGCCTTGACCATAACATGCGATACCTCAAGGACCAGTCTACTCTGAGAAGGGTAGAATCTTTTACCTATTCCCCGGCCACGAACTTCTTCAGCCTGGTCCCTGGTACCCAATCCTGCCAGCGTGTCACGTCCAACTCCTCGATCTGATAGGCCCCAAATTCGCCGCACCGCAATATTCTATAGGGGCCCAACCATCTCTTGTCAAGCTTCCTCGACCATTGGTTTTCCAAAGAGGAGTCGTATAATAATACGACATCCCCTACTGCCAATGGCTCCTTCCTTACTCGCGGCATCTGGTCCCACCTCATCTTATCTTCCATGCGACTCCTTTCTACCTGACCAGCGGCCTCTCGCAATCTTTCTTCGGTCGCCCCCACTTGCCGCGCCCGAATATCGAGCAGTTCTTCGAAGGATAGGTTTCCTTCCAGGTCTTGGCGCCTCCACATCTTCATAAAGCTTTCGATTGGAAAGGTGGCGTGCCTCCCATACCATAGCTTGGCTGGCGCGTGCTTGGTAGTCCTCTTTACGGTAACATTCTCCACGAAAAAGGCTGCCCGTAGGAACTTTGGCCACTGACCAGGCTTGCCCTCTGTCCACTTAGCCAGGAGATTCGTGATGGTACTGTGCCCCCTCTCCACAGGAGCGTTCGCTTGAGGGTGTGCGGCCGTAGCATAGTTGGCCACTACGTCATACCCTGCAAGCAACATCCTCACCTCATTGCAGGTAAACTCTGATCCTCGATCCATCACGAACTCCCTGACAAAAAGGTATCGCAGGTAATACTCCTCGATGCAGTTTGCCAAAACCGGGTCAGTCTTCGTCCGGATAGCTCGTCCGTCCACAAATCCAGTTAGGTTATCCCATGCATCGAAGATGTAGTTACACCCATTCTCCCCTGCTCGCATGAATAACAAGTCCAGGTGTACGACCGCACCCACTTCCCTTTCTAACCTTGGGTGTAGGGGTTCTCCAGGCCTTTGCGCTGGCCTCTCTTGGCAAGGTATACAAGACCGACAGTATTTAATAACCATCGTCAGCATCCCGTCCCAATGGTAGAGCTCGCTTATTTTCGTGCATGTGGCACCCACTCCTCTGTGCCCCCCTGCTATACCATCGTGTAGGGCCGCTATGATATCAATTTGTCGGTTTCTTCCACATACAATCCTCTTGGGGTTCCCGACCTGTCGCTTTATAAACAAGTGGCCGTCTCTTACCACATAGAGGTGCCTCATGTTCTGTGCCTTGGCTCTCGCATCTCTATCCCTCATCTCACATGATAGGAGCAACCCCAATTCCTGGTAGATCCCATCATACTCCTCCGTCCGAAACGCCTCCTTGATTTCTCCTTCCTCGAATTCGTCGTCCCGGCTTTCAGGAACCAGAATCTCATTCTCCTCGTGACTGAACGAGCCCTTTCGGTCGAAGTCTCCTTGCAGGAGCGTATTGGTGAGCAGGTACATCCCTCCCATTAGCTGCTCATGCTCCTCTACCTGAGTGGGGCCTTCCTCTATTGCCCTCAGTTCCTCCACCTGACTGTGCGTACCTGCCAACCCCAACTTCATCATCCAACCAACATCTTTACTTCCCCACGGATCCTCCTCCTGAAAGGGCTTGAGGACTAACTCTTCCTTCTGCTCGTACCCCTTTGGTGCCAGCCATATGGGGTGACTGACGCAACTGGGCACTCGCAGGGACCATTCGTTTATGTGCAGGCGGACGTCCTCCTCTTGATCCAAAAAACCATCAACTGGCGGCGTGTCTTCTATCGATTCCTCGTCCGATCCATCCCAGTTGATGCGGCTTAACCCATCTGCTGTGTTCTTGTTCCCAGGAATCATTTCCAGCTCGAAATTAAACATCCAAATGTAGGTCAACCATCTTGCGACGGTTGGGTCAGATGGAGTATAATTCTTCAGGGAACATGCTAGTGCAGTAGGGTCCACCCTCAGGATGAGCCTCCTGCCAAAAACATAGTTCTGAAAGGTCCTTAGGCAATGAAGTACCACCAACGTTTCCTTCTTAAACTGAAAGTAGTTCCTCTCAGTTGTATTGAGGGTGCGACTTTCGAATCTTAGCGACCTCTCCTTCCCCTCAGTATCTGCCTGAATCAAGACTCCTCCCAAGGCAGTTGGCCCAGCGTCCGTCTCAATGACGAATGGTCTTTCCTCCGTGGCCTCATAGTTTGGCGATCCCAATACCAAACCTCCTTCCTTAAACTCTCCTTTCATCCTACTGACCGCCTCTTCCTGGTCTTCGCCCCAGACCCATTCTTGATCCTGACGCACCAACTTCCTTAAATGCTCCGTCTTCGTGGCAAAGTCTTTCACGAAGCTCCTCCAAAATTCGCACGTCCCAAGAAAGCTCCTCACATCCGTCATCGAACGGAAGGGCACCGGCCACTCAAGAATCTTGTCTGTTTTTTTTACATCAGATCTTCGCCCACTCACATTACAGACAAAACCTAGAATCGTGGCCTCCCTCATACAATGTTTCGACTTGGGGCCGCCCGCCATCAAGTTATGTTCTTCCAATAACCCCAGAACTTGATCAATGTCTTGAACATGCTTCCAGACAAAGCGCCGCACACCGGGCATCACTTCGTCTTCCTCCTTCTCCTTCGGACCTTTGACCTCCAGGTCATCGATATAGGGTTGAGTGATATGTGGGCTGAACGTGTGCATGGCTCTGGTTATATGCCTTTGCACCATCGCCACTACATTCGTCCAACCTTGAGGCGCCACGTTCATATGAATCAGCCCTCTGGGAATGTGCATTGCCGTTACAGGTCTGTCTGGCGGGTATACAGGGAATTGGTCATACCTCGAGTAGCGGTCTATAAGCGAGATTATAGGCCTCCCTGCGCACGATTCTGACAATGCGTCCGCGTTCGGCAATCCTCTCGCGTCCCGCACTGTCACCGCATTTAGCCGTTGCAACTCCTGCACCCACCTTAGCTTCCCATTTGGTTTAATAAAACAAAACCAAGGCGACTCATACCGTCCACTGGAATAGTCGGCCACGTGCGTCCGCATCTTGCCGTCCAGGTAGTCCACCACCTTCTTCTCCTCATCCGGATTTGGGTATCGCGCGCCCCTTAAATTTCATGTCTCGTGCGGAACAGTGTGGGTTCATATTATCGGAATCTTCTCCACATCCAGCCTTCCACGGTCATCGTCATCGAATGCATACGCGCGGTGCCTTTTCTTCATCAGCCCCACCATCAACGCTCTTTCCTGGGGCGACAGGAAGTCAGGCTCCCCGATTATCAACTTTCCCTCATTCTCGTCGTTGATACGGCACGGCCCGGCGAAGGCATATTCCCGCATGCGTCGTATCAATCCTCGCTCCCGCTCGTAATAGGCTTCCTCATCGTCTGTGACGAGCACGGGAACTGGGCGGCACTTCTTATCTATGGTCTTGTACCGCCTTTGGGAACCCTGCTTAAGCCCTCCCCTAAAAAAGGCTGACTTGTCGCTCGGGCCTGGGCCATCGCAGGGCCTCCCCTCCCTCCCGGAAGCCGATACACCAACTTCACCTCCCCCACCTGAGGGTTCTCCAAAACTTGTTCCCTCAATGCCTTAATGGCCTCCGGATCCGCCATGTCGTGAGCCGATACCACCTCCATGGCCTTATTCACATCCGTGACGCTCAATGTCAGCACCTCAGCCCTATCTTCCTCCTCGGGCACTTCCCAAAGCCGTCTCCGCTCGTTCTCTGACTCCTCAAAGGTGAACGAGCCTGGATTGGGCCTATTCCTCCCGCTCCCCGGCCCCGTGTTTCGGCAGGTGATAATTTCATAATTCCCACACGCCGGGTCGCACAGGAGGAGGATCATTGTTTCGTCGTGCTTATGAAGATCAACATTTCCGTCCTGCACAGAAACGACCGCCCCAGAAGGATGGGGTGATCGACATCGGGCATAACGAAAAAACAAGTTCTGGCTCGCACCTTCCCAATCTCTATAATCACATTTGACGTTGTGCCGCAAAAGGCGGCCTTGCAGTTAGCACCATGCAACATGCCATGGTCCGAGCGGTCGATCTCCATGCCTATCATCACGGCCTCCTTCTCCCTGATGATGTTCATCTCTGCGCCCGTGTCCACCATCCCAGTGCAATTCTGGTTCTTTATCACCAGATCCACCTGCCCGCACGCCACACATTTGCAATCCATCCTTGTCCCTGCCTCTGTCCACTCCACCTCTCTTGGCAGGACCGTACTCAGATGGACATTTGGCACCAGCCTTCGCGACAGTCGTCCCTTCAACTCACCACGGAGCCTTGGCGCCGACGCCAGGATGTCCTTTAGGTTCATCAAGTCATTATGGCCTTCCAGGAGCTTGTCCACCATCCGCGCCACATCAAAGCCTTCCTCCATCCGGACCGCGTACTTCTTCCTCTTAGGCACGCTGTCGGGCAGGCTTCACTCCGCCTCCTCCCGGGCTCCTCTCTTTTTGGCCCTCATCTCCGCTCGTTGATCCTCCTCTTGTCGGAGCCTCTCATCCTCCTCATCGTCATCCTCTTCCTCTTCCTCCGGGACTTCCACCACCTCCTTCCTGCGCCCTGGCTCAGGCTCCCCTCGAGGAGGTGCCTGACTAGGTGCGTGATTGGGTGCCTGACTAGGCTCTTGGCTAGGCCCGGCCTTATTTTGGCTTCTGGTCTGAGCCGCCTGTGGCACCCTCCCATGCGAGTGGGGGGTCTAAGGGCAATACCTGACCTAGGGCACGTCCCTACGGTCGCCACCCTTGGGCATCCTTGTTGTCCTCGCGAAGGCTCTGGCCCGGAGTCATAAAGGAAGACCTCAGGCAGGTTGGCCTCTCGGGCTTCTTCACACAGGGCTTGCAGCTTCCGCTGGTATCTCCCCACCTTTTCCAGCAGATCTTCCATCCTTCCCAGGAGGAGTGTGGCCGGCTCTCCTTCACCTTCCTGCCCCTTATCATCCGATTCGACGACTATTGGCTCCTCCCTTATAGCCCCTGCTTTTAGCCGCTGGTTGACCTCCTCGTTATCCCCCACAATCTCCTCAACCCTTACGGTCGGCTCTTCTTTCTCTTGCCACATCCTAAACATCGTCGGGGGTGCTGTGGGCCCCGCTGCTGCTCGCCGGAGAGCCTCTTGCCTAATTCCTCTCGGGGTCGTGGGGTCAATATGGTCACCCCACTTATCATATATGTCCCCGTCCATACAAGAGGAGATTAACCCTGATAATTCATCCTCCCGCCGCCGCTCGCAGAACCGCACCGTGTGGCCTACATCGCCACAATGCCAGCAGGTGGCATTTCACCAATCAAAGCGGGGCCTCCCATACCCTTGGCCCCCTCCGTGGCCGCCTCGGCCACCTTGGTCCTGGCCCCTTTGACCATTCCAACCGACTCCGCGACCCCCACCATTTCCTCCTCGGCCCCGGCCACCACCTCCTCGACCCCCTTGACTTGGGCCTCCATTCCCTTGTCCGCCTTGTCCTTGGCTTCCTCCCCCGGCCACGCTGGCCTGCGAGGCATGTTGGGAGGGAGGTGGTTGAGCCACAAACTGACCCTGGGCCGCATGGTAGTTCGGGGGCCCCATACTTGCCGCTGGGCCCGCATAAGGGACCATTTGCCCGGGCTGGGTTTGACTACCCCCGCACGAGGTGCAGTGGTTACAACTGGGTCAGGATGTAGGCTGAGAGTGCGGCACCCAATGCCCACAGGCCGGCGGCGGCCCCATGCATGACGGCCCGGCTGTCGCTGACGTTGTCGTCACAACAGGTGGCGGCGCAGCAATCGCTTGCGGGACCTGCCTTTTCCAGATCCTTGACCCCCCACTTGTAAATTCTGCTGCTTTCTCTGGGCCTTGGTTAGGATCTGGGAGCCCGTCTCTTCCCCGCCATAGTCCTCGCGCCTAGCCTCCTCTTCCACTGCCCCCGACGCCCCGCCTTGGGCTACGGTCACTCCCCYCTTTTGCAYTTCCGCCTCATTATCATACCCCAGCGYTGCCMATACGTCCGTGACGATCCTCTTCACCCCTGGGGTCCCGGACGCGGTGGCCTCCCTTTCCTTCCTCTTGCGCCTTTGCAGTCACACCTAGTGCTGCTCCACCTGGTCCAGGCTCCCCTCTTCCACCCCTTTGTCGATAGTGGCCCAGGTGAGTTTCTCATTTCCCCCTCCGTGACCCATCAGCTCCGAGGCCTCCGAGCCAGTAAGCAGACCCAAAAATATGGCACACAGGGTTTCTTCGGAGATCCCGTGCACCTTCCGCGCCTTCCTTTTAAACTCGTGCACAAACGCCCCAATCGTGGAGAAGCCATCCTTGTTCATGGCTTCCAAATCCGCCATGGTCAGCAACCCATCCCCCAACCTGTACTTTTTCTGCATCATGTCCCTGAACCTCGCCCAACTACCATTGGCGGCATCCACGACCTTGCCCACTTCCTGATGGTGGCTATGAAGGACATATCTTAGGACTCGCCGGAGCTTGACCTCGTCCGACAGGCCCAACCAGTGCTTGCTCCGTCAGGTCCATCCAGTCGGACACCCGTTCTCCCTTGAAGTGGAAAGTATCAACCTTCGGGACATTGCTCGGCGCCCTCTCGCGCTTATCCAGGGCATCGATGAGGTCGTCAAGCGTTACAAGCTTCCTCCCACCATCCGCTATCTCCTCAGACATTTTGATTAACTGCCTTCGGCTTCAATCCCCCTGTTATAAGAAGCGATAGGACGAAAGGTTCCACTCAGCAGTCCATTCCTTCATGATCCTACCGGAGCGACCACCTAAGCACCCGACGTTCTGGACCTGGCAGACATTTCTCTCTCTACTTCCTACCTCCCTTGGGTTCACCTAAGTAAGACCCACTCTCATCACAGAATTCACTCACATACTCGCCTCGTTCATGCCATCAACCAAACCATCAATCAAATCAACATTCATACCCACACAGCCATATAGACTACTATAGGACCCATCTCATAGTTCTTCTCCTATTTACTCACGTGCCTAGTTCTCTCTCATTCTCATATTACCTGGATGTCGTTCCACCAGGGACAACGGTAGGCTTCCGTTATCCCCGGCAACGACGCCACCTGTCGAGCGCATCGGTCCGGCACCGCACGTGGCAGCGCGGGACCCTCTCAGCCGCGTCACGCAGGAGTTGGACCAACCTTATCGCGAACACACAAATGGAGCTTCCTTGGGCCGCTGCGGCCGAGTGCGCCAGCCATACCTCTCGCGAGCCCCTACGACACGATAGGGCCTACGCGAGGCACAACTTACCTCCACCTTACGGGAGCTGACACCTCCCTTTAATGGGCGTATCCCCGCCGAGCTACCAGTCCACAGTACGAAAGCTACTCAGTTGCAATCGCAAAGGTGGACCAGCCGAGGGCGTTTCTCATTCGCTGTAGCATAGGGGGTACGCTCGGTAATATGCCTGTCGGGCCCGCACGAGAGCCGACATTTTGGGGGGCTGAAGTCCCAAGCGCGGCTCGATGTCGGTCGACTAGGACGCATTCCACACACCACACGCACATTTACTTTACGACACAAAAATAGAACACACACACACACGAAAACGACACAACACAAACACGTGACAACGCTCCTAGCCCCTCGGTAACCAACCCATAACCTTCCGACGCGGAAATCGGATAGGCGTCACGCGCGAATCTCAGTATATAACCACGCGGACGCAGGGCTAACTCATATCGACTCGCAAAGAAAGTGTACGCAAGCAGTCGCAATGATGGCGTACTATATAGTACCTATACTCACGCTGTCCCCGTTAATCGCGAGGGTCGCATTCGACACTCAAGTGTCGGCTGATACGCGCATTGAAGGTTAGTCTCTCGGCGCTGGACAACCGCCATGCGCGGTTGAAGACTACACCCTCTTCAGCACCCTGTGCAGAGGGGTTGAGTAGACAGCTTTAGGCTGTCGTGGCGGTCGAACATCAAGGGGTTTGAATTTGACGGCCGCCGCGGACTATAAGGTCCAACCATGAAAATGCAAAAGGAAAACTCACTCTAACCCCCATTAGCTGATGACCCTCCTAAAATGGAAAGGGGGTGGATAAGCCTAAACGATGCGCGCGCGGAGGAGGTCTGGTATCCTACCCATAGGCTACCCGGAGTTCGGGATAATGAGGCCCGTACACGGACTCCCAAAGGCTGACCGGGACTAGTCCTCCGCCCACGTGCCGCTTCACGTTACCAAGACCACAAGTTTACTGGCCGTGANGAGGCCCGTACACGGACTCCCAAAGGCTGACCGGGACTAGTCCTCCGCCCACGTGCCGCTTCACGTTACCAAGACCACAAGTTTACTGGCCGTGATGCGCTTGTGGTCTCCCCGCTTGACCCATAACTCTTTTAGTGCGGGATGCGACCAGTGTCGCGCGCGAGCCTAGTATAAGATCGCGAGGGCGCTGGACTTACACATACTATCTCGCTATGCAGTTCTACGTGAATAACCACGATGACGGCGCATTATGTAGTGCCCACACCCAAACGGCCTACTCTGAGCCAAAGGGTCATTTTTCGACGCTCAGGCGCTGGCTAAAACACGAGTCAATGGGGGTAACCCTTTTGCGCGTGCAAAACCGGCCTGAGGGCCTTTCCGTCCTCTGCACCCTGAGGTGCCCCAACGGGTGTGGGGCAAGACGGCCCCTAGGGCAGGAGGGAGCTTGGAGCGGTGGTGAGTTGTCTGGCGCATCACCAGCGGCACGCTGACCCCTCCGCCCGGAACTTTATCGTTCCACCAAGATAAATCGCAACAAGGAAAATAAATAGGAATTGACGAGGGATATCCCCTCCCTTCTATTCACCCCAACCTTCGACTGACCCTTAGTACGCGGGCGTTTCAGGCCACGCTAGCTCCATACGTAGGTACACATGCACTGACACATATATATATATGCAGAAGGGGAAATAATTATGTGACGATCACTTCTCACAGTCATAGTGGGTCTCCTCCTAGCCACACATATATATATGCGATCGCAGGGCGGCCCAATCAAAACCCCAAGTCTTTGAACATACTTGCAGCCACATCAAAAGTCAGACATAAAGTGCACGCACTACGCGGAGTCAACTTCAACCAGTTCCTATACTCATACCCCTCACTTTAGCCATACAAACCCCAACCTCCAGCCAACCAACCTCAATTAAAAACTCAGTACCTTTGTTAAATGACCATTCAATAAAAGTCCAGGTGAAACCTTTAACAAACAGAAAGATCACCAGGGCTAAAGCCTTTTAGGTTGAGTATGGGGAGCGCGTAGGAATTGAGTCGTCAGCCGACGGGTCGGCAACCGACCTGTTATCAGTGATAACAGAAGATGATCCTCGTAGGATCAAGCTGAACCTAGTCCTAGTCCTGAATCAATCTATCAAGAAGACCTGTAACACAAGACAGGTCAACACCCACGGCTAAATCTATAAGTTCATGAAGAATAATCCCCATATCACGATCTCACTCATATCATCCTAATTAACTAAGCCTAAGTTTACCCTCAAGCAGTTCCGAAAGCAAAGGTAGACCTTGGCAGAGTCTCCCCTATAAAGGGTGGATCGCCAGAATCGCCTCCTAT